CATCGTGAGCTGCATAGGAACTGTGGCCACCACAAGATGCCCCTACATGCTTGCGCGCACCTTACACTGGATATCGCGCATTGCACTGAAAGTTTCACACAAGTTGCCTCAGGGTCGTCTTTGCATCCAAACGATAGAAAGTTGCGATCATTCGCGGAGTCATGAATGTCGCAAGTGAGCTGCTCCTAAAAACGATCATTTCATGGTGGTCAGAGCTGTTGGAAATTCTTAAGAAGACCTAAATCTCACTGGTTTTGTCGTGGAACAAGATGCGTACACTAATTTCATCATCAACATTATCCTTCTTGACAACCTAGTGAGGTACTCACTCATCAGTAAAGACTCCCTCACCTTTGATACACCATGGTTTAATGTGGTAGTCTGGAAAGTATTTCGCAGTGGCAATCTGCATATGTACCTCCTTGCAGTTGGTATCTTCGCCAGCATGTCCTAACTTAGCAGCACCTCGTGGCTTTTGTTTTCATTTGGAATTTTATTTATGGCTAAAGGGAATAAAGAAAGATCTTGACTACTTTTCAGGCTGACTTGACACAGTTTTTCTTATCATTTTTTCTGAAATAATGCAAAATTTTAAATATTGCCAAACTTCAGACTATCAACATAATGAAGTAACTCACTGAGTGTTAAGTAAAGTCCATGGTTGTAAATCCTACACAAGGCAGTCCCAGGTGCATAAAATTTTGCTGAAGGTCGAACCTTGCGTGTGGCGCAACAGTGCACAGAGACTGGTGCACTGTTGCGTGGCTGTCAGAGCAGACAGTCGTTGAGAGCCCAAGCAGAGCCAAACACTCCCTAAACGCCCGCTAGAACGTAGTTTATTGGAATCATGAACTTCTGCGTAGCCGATTGTACTAACAGGTACACGCCATGTCCTGTGGGAATGGCGTTTTACAGTTTCTCGACCCGTCCCTGCTTTGTTACACAGAGGAATATGTGGATCACAGCTGTGCGACGTAATGGCTGTTTGGTTCCTACTCCTTTTGTTGGTTTAATGATTTTACACGATGCTCTCGCTGCCATAGAGGTGGTTAAAAAAGGTTTATGCAAGGCATTTCAATTCTGGTTAAGGCTAATGGAACGTTTTAATGGACCTTAATAACTAGCTAGCCATCTCCTTTCACAGTTTTGGGGAATGCAAAGCGAGGTCAATTATTGCTTTGCTGAGTTGATAGGATGATCAGAAAAGGGGCAAACTGAGTTACGTAGCATATTACCGTAAACATAACTAGCCACGCAGCCACGCTATGCGCAACTGGTAAGATCACGCTAAGCCTTTGGTTGGTTGACCCTTACTTAACTGGCACGACCTACCTTGCGGGATCGGCCATGAAATTGGCTGTGCCTTGTTATATAAATGAATTTGTTTATATTCTCGATATATTTAGCAATAGGTCGTTTTCAAAATAACTAGTTTGCTTAATTCAAGAAAAAAAAAAACATGTTATTGAAGAACAAGCTTCAGTTAGAAAAGCTTAGCATTGGATTTGTTTCGTCTCGCGTAGTAAATTGCACACAGCATCGTAAATGCTCCTGTGGCTAAAACCCAGTGCTGTAGCCCCACATTTGGCCCCAAAGAAAAGAACCACTGAATTAAATCACATCATTCAAAGTGTCATCCAGGGGTCTTCTTTGATTAGTGCAGGGTGTAGGAAGAAATGATGCAGGGTGTAGAGTAGCAGAAGTACATGATAAAAAAAACAAAGCTTTCCGGATGCTGTTTATACCACGGGATGTGCATGTCAGCATTTGATTTGGAAAGCAACATAAACTGCGCAAAACGTTGTAGTCAATGGGAGAGACGTGATGGTGGCCAAAGTGATCACCCGTGTTGTCGTCGTTGCCATGTTACAATCCTCTCTGGCCAAAATCATAACGCGTTCTCTTTCTTGCTCGTGCCTCAAGCTGTCAGCATGAGCTGTGCAAGCGGCGAGGTGAAGACTATGATTATGATGAGTGATGATGATGCCACAAGAATTTCAAACAAAGCACTTCCCGAGACTAGGTGGCCAAAAATAGCCGTGGTATGAAACCGCCTCAAACGAGCACACTGCCTGGCCACTCATCATGATTTTCCGGCGAGTGGCCGTGGAGCCATCGGTAATTATAAATGCTCTGAGCATTTTGCAAATATGTGGGTAGTAGGCACGCACCAATAATTTTCTAAGTGTGAAATAATTGCAGCTTACTGCAACAGTTATGAAGCAAGCATCTTGCATCGCGCATACCTGACACATTCAGCATCCATTTAGCTGGCAGTACTGACGACGAGTATAGCAAACCACTCCCTAATAGGGAAAGCGTGGCCACTTTCTTGCAGGTTTTCCAATTTATTCATGGCCGCATCACGGAAGAATATACCTTCAAGGTATATTAAATCCGGCTAGAAGCACTAACGTGCTGGCTACGGGCGCTTGTGTACCATAGCTATCAAAGCAATGAGGTGCAGCTGTCTGCTAGAACTCTCAACGTTGCATTCCCACGGCACGACAAGGGGCTTGGCTCTCAAGGTGCCTCCTATAGGTCCCAATCGGAGTGTATAAGAGCAAGGAAGCATTTGATACTTTGAAAGTGCACCTTGCGGAAAATTATGGTGAGAGTGTATTCCTGGTTTAGGGTTGGTACTGGTCTTCATGGTTGAGGTCGCTTCTCTTTCATTGCCTGGTAGGTGAGGGAGATCATAAAGTACTCAATTCCAGATTCGTAAGATTTGAAATTTTAATGGTGCATTTATACAAGGAACCATAATGGGTAACTTGATTCACTAAATATCATTTTATAACTATGCTTCACTGCTCAGAGGCCAGCAGTCATAGCTTGGAAACAATTATATTTACAAATAGAAATGAAATATACGCTTACAACCACTACACTTACAAGCGCCCCGTCTTATCTGAATTTTTTTTTATTGCAATAGCAATTATATAAGGACACTCTCGTCTGGATTTTGCCACTGGCGTTGATGACCGCCATCATTCACCGTATGTATGTATGTATATATATATATATATATATATATATATATATATATATATATATATATATATAGGTATGGGATATGGGATATGGCACAACGGGAGCGTTGTCAACAAGGATAAATATATTTATTTCCCAACAGTTTCGGGAGGGGTCTTCCCTTCATCAGGGGATGAGTTATACTGACATGAACTCGTTGCTGCTGCGTCCCTCTCGCCTTGAAAGATGTTTGCAAGAGTGAGAGGGAACTAAAAAAGAGAAAAAAAAAACAAAAAAGGGGAGGAAAAAGACGAAAAATAAAAAAAAAAGAAAGTAAAACAGAGGAAGAACCACTGTCAACACTGAGAACGAAACCAACTGTCCGTGTACGTCCACATACGGTTCATATCACGTGCTGTTCAGTTCTCGACGTGTGTCGGGCCACCCAAGATTGTCGCCGCGGTGCCGGGAGGGTTCGTGACGGCGTGCGTAAAGAAAGGGTTTCCCCGTAATGGGTCGGTCGGCGTGCGGCGTGCGTAAAGGAAGGGTTTCCTGCTGTTAATGGGTCGGTCGGCTATTAACGGGAAACCCTTCCTTTACGCACGCCGACCGACCCATTACGGGGAAACCCTTTCTTTACGCACGCCGTCACGGACCCTCCCGGCACCGCGGCGACAATCTTGGGTGGCCCGACACACGTCGAGAACTGAACAGCACGTGATATGAACCGTATGTGGACGTACACGGACAGTTGGTTTCGTTCTCAGTGTTGACAGTGGTTCTTCCTCTGTTTTACTTTCTTTCTTTTTTTTTCTTTTTCTTTGTCGTCTTTTTTCTCCCCCTTTTTGTTTTTTTTTCCTTTTTTTAGTTCCCTCTCACTCTCGCAAACATCTTTCAAGGCGAGAGGGACGCGGCAGCAACGAGATTATGTCAGTATAACTCATCCCCTGATGAAGGGAGGACCCCTCCCGAAACTGTTGGGAAATAAATATGTTTATTCTTGTTGACAACGCTCCCGTTGTGCCATATCCCATACCTTCACGAAGACTAACTGGCCCATTGAATTATTACTCCCACTATATATATATATATATATATATATGAAAACGCAACAAAAAAATAATCCAGAAAAAGACTCCGGCGCGTGGACTCTAACATCCGACCTCCTGCTTGTGGGTGCGTAGCGTTAGCCACTGAGCTACTAAGGAGCACTTCCTTCAACGTTGAAACGGCAAGCTATCTATATTTACCACTTACCACTGGCGATTGTGGTCTTGGGGGAACTATCGTGTTTTCAGCATTACCAGCGAGATGGCGTAATAAGTGCGTGTCGCCGCGGCGTGACGATATGGCAACGCGGCGACGCGCGCTCATGCGCTCATCTTTGATGCGTACTTTGCCTCGCATAAGTTGAGGGGTAGTAGACACTCAAGTGTGCGCACGCTTATTTTGCGGTGGGGAGAATCGTACACCTTGGGCTATCACAGGAACGATTCTGTTGTAGTTACTGGGCTCACAAAGGTCACTGCACTCGCTGCACATTCTCCGTTTGCGAAAAGGGCACGATTTTTAGACACAGAGAAGTAACTACAGAGACACTTATTCACGCTCTTCTGTACCTGCGAGTACGTTTTATGCGTCATTTTTCTGTAAGCAACGCGGGGCACATCTCGATCGTCTTGCCATTCTTCGCGTGGCGTTCTAATCTGTTGCTCTCGCATTCATTGCTTCGCCTTTGCAGCATAGCTATGGCTTTATTTCCAACAGAGTCTGTGCACAAAGAAAGTATATTCCTTTTAGAAGGTCTATGCAGCCACGTTATTGCAGTTAAATTTACTAAAAACATTAAACCATGTTAATATTTTTGTGCTGTGTTGCCACGAAATGATATAATGAAATGGTTGTGTCAATTCTGCATTTTTGCACAATTTTGTTGATATCTCATGATTGCAAAATGATGTTATACTTGCATGCAGTTTTTCTGTAGTAATGTTGTGAAAAACAAAAGACACTATTGCTGTGTGCAGGTGTGGGATGACCAGGCTGTTTGGAATGTTGATTACTGCCAGATCCTCAAAGAAATCACAGTGGAGGATATGAACGAGCTTGAGCGACAGTTTCTGGAGCTGCTTCAGTTCAACATCAATGTGCCGGCTAGTGTGTATGCCAAGTACTACTTTGACCTCAGAACCCTGGCTGATCACAATGAACTGGCTTTTCCGTCAGAGCCACTCAGTAAAGAACGGGCGCAAAAACTTGAGGTAAGCTTGCAGATTCTGAGTACATTCTGTTTAAAAAGTATGGCAACTGCCACCCTTACAACCAGAGCTTGCCAGTTTGTTATACAGTCGAAGCCCGCTACAACGAACGCCGCTTCAACGAAATTTCCGCTACAACGATAAGCTGTCCATAGGAGTCAATGCAAAAATATTGTTGCCACAACGAACACTTTTTCTTCTGTCGTCTCACTTCAACGAAATTTCATCATGCAATTCCAGGCTCAGATATTTATTTCTATACAAGAAACCTAATCTTTATCTCTTTGATGCATTTTGAGAACCTGAAAATACATCGACGAAGTCTAAAATACGGGTTGGCACCACCAGAAACCGCCGCTGTTCAGCAAGCATGGGCGGCGTCATTGCTAGATAGCGATTGCAATGAGACGGCTCTGCTCATGGAGGATGGCCCTGCTTTTGCCACTGGCTTGTTTTCGAGCCGCAGACTATCCGAAGCTGAAGCTCAATCGCTCAGTCCATGGTTTCCTTCACGCAGCTGCTGCGTGCAACCGCGGAGCGATACCTTTTCCGATTCCAATGCTTATCATTTTATTCGCGCTTGACCAGTGTGGTACCTAATCAGAGCGGCTGTTCATCCGCATTATCATGGTTCTCCATCCATCAGTCCAGTCCCTTCTTCGCCGATGTGACGCGCTGCATCTTTCCATGCCTGCAATCACACAGAGTGAGACTGCGGGCGCGCCACAAGCGCCCCTGGCTGGAGCAGCCAGTACTGCTCCGCCACCTAACAAACAGGGCCAGCAGACTACTTACTCGGCCAGACCTCGAACCACTGCAAGTGCAGTTAGGTCCGAAAGTTCTGTGAATGTGCCTGCCGAGCAGGCACCATCCACCACCTCACAAGAAGCGATGGATACAAGTATGACCCCTCCGGCGCCCAAGACGCCGAAGGAAAGGCGCAGCTCTTTAAAGCGTGCAAAAAAAAGAAAAAAAAAACCGAATTACAGGGCTTCAAAAGGCCCTGTAACTTAAGGCAACACTTTTGTACACACAACATCACACAAGACTAAAATGACACAAATACTACAGTGGAACGTCAGAGGACTGCTGAGAATCCTCGACGATATCCAGTAGCTCTTAGACGAACATACACCAAAAGTGCTGTGTGTGCAAGAGACACTCTTGAAACCAAAACACACTAACTTTCTACACAGTTACGTTATCTTTCGACAGGACCGAAATGATGCCATTGTGCCATCCGGTAATGTTGCCATTATAGCAAATCAAGGGATAGCATGCACACACCTACCACTACAAACATACCTTGAGGCGGTGGCTGTTCGAGCAGTTCTTTTAAATAAGCTCGTCACCATCTGCTCTCTATACATACCTCCACAACACAGTCTTGAAAAGCATGAATTCCAGTCCCTCATAGATGAACTTCCAGAACCTTATATTCTCCTTAGAGATTTCAATGCACATAGCAATCTATGGGGTGGCTCTCGCTGCGATGCTCGAGGTCGCCTGATTGAACGGTTCTTTTTTACTTCTGGCGCGTGTCTTCTAAATCGGATAGAGCCCACATAATACTGCCTCGCCAACAATACCTACTCGTCAATAGACCTCAGTATTATCTCTCCATCCCTCCATCCCTCCTTCCCTTACTGACATGGAACGTCATCAATAATCCTTACGGAAGTGACCACTTCCAGTAATGCTAGGCACACCCATATCAAATGGATATCGCCCACAGGTCCCCAGACGGATCACTGACAAAGCTGATTGGGAACAGTTCTCGCAGATTACTCACTTAAGTTGGACTGACCTATCTAGTTTAAACATAGATGCAGCTGTACAATACTTTTCAGCTTTTCTGACCGACACTGTGATGAAATGCATCCCGCAAACTTCTGGACTGCCTGGCTAGTGACGTGTCCCATGGTGGAACTCTGAATGTCGCAATGCACGCAAACGACAAAACAAAGCGTGGAGGTTGCTACGGGACTCCCCGACAGCAGAGAATCTTGAAAGCTTTAAGAAAATTAAGTCCCAAGGCAGGAGAACGCGCCGGCAGGCTAGGAGAGAAAGTTGGCATAAGTTTTTATCAAGCAGCACTATACACAAGAAACTAAAGTCTGAAACATGGTTCACAAGGTAGCAGGACGACACGCATCTTCACTACCTCTCGTAGACGCACAAGGGGACACCTTGGAAGACCAGGCCAACTTCCTTGGTGCCCACTTTGAAGAGGTGTCCAGCTCCTCGCATTATACTGCAGCTTTTCAACGTCACAAAAGAAAAATTAAAAATTGAAAAAGAGAAACGACAGCAAAAATCCTCTAAACATGAGTCGTACAACAACCCTTTCTGTTCGGCCGAGTTACGAGCATCGCTATATGGCTGCAATAAATCAGCACCTGGTTCGGACTGTATAGTATACGAAATGTTAAAACAACTGCCTCCTGAAACGCAAAGAACCCTGCTTTCCCTGTATAACGCATCTATTTGGTTTTCTGGTGAAATCCCCTCTGCCTGGAAAGAAGCCATTATTATTCCGATTTTAAAGCAAAGCAAGGATCCATCTTCTGTTAGTAGTTACAGGCCAATCACACTTACAAGTTGCATGTCTAAACTTTTTGAAAAAATGACAAATCGCTGACTTGTACACTACCTTGAAACAAACAATCGGCTCAACCCATTCCAGGGCGGCTTTTGAGAGGGTAGATCCACCGCCGACCACCTGGTACGTTTTCAGGCACAGATCCGAGACGCCTTCGTCCACAAACAATACTTTCTTTCTGTGTTCCTCGATATCGAAAAAGCCTATGATAGCGACATGGAGATTCGGAATATTAAGAGATGTGTCTAATCTTGGTGTTCGTGGCAGGATGTTTACTATTATCAAAAGCTATTTGTCCAATCTTACATTCCGTGTCAAAGTGGGCAGTGTTCTTTCCCCAACATTTGTCCAAGAAACAGGAGTACCGCAAGGTGGTGTACTTAGTTGTACTCTCTTTATTGTCAGAATGAATTCTTTGCGTCTTTCTATCCCACAAAATATGTTTTACTGTACATATGTTGATGGCGTCCAGCTTGGATTTAAGTTTGTAACCTGGCAATTTGTCAGTGGCAGGGTCAGCTTGGCTTGAACAAGGTCTCCAAATGGGCTGAGGAAAACGGATTCTAATTAAACCCCCAAAAAAGCATGTGTGTCTTGTTCTCTAGAAAGAGAGGCACTCACCCCGACCCTGACATTCAATTGCATGGTCAACGCCTGTCTGTTAATGCCGAATACAAATTCTCAGGCCTGATTCTGGACACCAAGCTAACCTTCGTACCACACATTAGGTATCTAAAAAACAAGTGCATCAGAACCGTGAATGTTCTAAAAATGCTGTCACGCACTACGCGGGGGAGTTACAAGAAGTGTCTCATGAACTTGTACAGGCGCCTCGTACGCACTCGATTGGATTATAGAGCAATAATCTATCAGTCTGCGACACCCACCGCCCTAAAGATGCTTGACCCTATTCACCACCTAGGCATTCGCCTCTCTACGGGTGCCTTTCGCACTAGCCCCGTTGAAAGCCTGTACGTGGAATCGAACGAATGGTCACTCCACCTACAGAGATGTTACATGTCTTTTCTATACTATCTCAAAGTGAAGGCAGACAAGGACCACCCTTCGCATTTCACAATTGATGACACGTCTACTTCTGTTCTGTTTGAAAACCATCCATCTTTCTATTTGAAAACCGTCCATCTTTGAGACAACCCTATTCGCTACGTGTGAGGGGCTTTTTTGAGGAAACCGGTGTGTCGCTTGAATATCGTCTGATAGCTCCCGCAGCATGCCCGCCACCATGGTGGTGGCAATTGATAGATTGTGAAGTGTCTTTTTTAGAGATTGCAAAGCATGCACCCATTGCACATATCCGCACATACTTCCTAGAACTACGTACAACAAAAGTACACATGCCCTGAGTTTTTTACAGATGCCTCAAAGTTCAACACTTCTGTTTCATACGCAGCCATTGGCCCATCCTTCTCAGATACTGGCATCCTGCATCCTGATGCAAGCATTTTCACAGGAGAAGCGTACGCAATACTTGCAGCTGTTAAACACATTGCTTATATAAAACTACAAAAAACGGCAATTTACATGGCTTCTCTGAGTGTGGTGAAAGCCTTGAAAACATTTAAAAAACTCAAAAACCCAGTTCTTGAGCCTCTTTATTCACTCTTATGCACAGTCTACTCATCCAAACAGCATGTTGTAGTCTGCTGTGTGCCGGGGCACCGTGAGATACAGGGAAACGTTTTGGCAGATCAGCTGGCTGCATCCGCCCGCAACGATGCCACTAATGCATCAATACCAATCCGACATGAAACCTTTACTGAAACGAAAGCTCAGAGGTTATTTGCAAAACATGTGGGATAGACATACGAGTAATAAACTACATGTTATTAAGCCACAACTTGGTCATTGGCCGCCACTGTCAAAATTGCGACACACAGAAATAACACTTACAAGGCTAAGCCTTGCGGTTCTTACTTACAAGGCTAAGCCTTGCGGCGAACCGCTTGCGGTTCTTCACATCTTCGTCCAGTGTAATGAGTTGGACGTTCCAAGAAAAAAGCACTTTTTACTGCCCTACCGACAGCAGCTCCCACTACACCCTGGGATGCTTATCGGTAGAGATCCGATTTTTATAATTCACTCATTGTTTACGTTTTCAAATGATGTACATAGTTTTCACTGCTTATTTCAAGGTGATTTGTAGCAGGACCTGTGGTGACTACATCTCCACCATAGTCTTATTATCATGAACTTTCGACATTCACTCTCACTGCACATATTTCACTCCACTGTCATGATTTTAATACTTAAGTTTTTATCCGCAATAGCACGAGGAATTTTAAGGCCCCTTTACAGCCACGCATCATATTATTGTTCATATCTCTAGTCTCTCAAAATGGCACTCTTTGGCCATCAATTGGCCCTTGCACCATTAAAAAAC